GTATGCCTTAGGCTTTAAGATTTCCTTTAAAAGAAAAAGCCTGCAAAATTCCACAGAAATAAAAACTTTAGCTTGCTTTCGCATGTCACTTTGAGATGACCAGTTATTTACGATTACATGAAAAATAAATGAAAAAGTTAATATTCCTCCTCCAATTATACTATGTCTTCGTGATCAAACAAAATATATCATTCGTTTGTGTTTATTTTGCTAATAAAATTCACAAGTCAAACCGTTATGATGAACCATCAAAAATAAGGCAAAATATCAAACATTCCATGGACGTACCTACAAATTTTCAGTTCTAACTTGGAAAAATAAAATGAATACCTTGAATCATTTTAGCTAGTTTGATAAAGGGCGTTGTCTGTTTATGTAGAAATCTTGAATTTTTCGAAAGATATAAATGTGATGTACACAGTAATACGAATTATTTTACCAAAAAATCGTTGGTGTGTTGATCCCGTAGGTAACCCTCGCTTGAAGCGCCCAATGCTTCATGATTTGTCCTCGACAGCTCGTGTTTGAACACCAGACCGATTTCCAGCACCGATCGCTCAACCACTTACAAAGATTTTCACAGGAATGCCAAAATCCAACACCATTGAACAATTTACAATTTTCTCGATTCATCCCGAGATGCAAAATGAAAGCTTATTTTTCCCTACCCTCGTGCTAAGGTAAATATCATATGTTTGTTGAATGAGCGGTCTCAATAACTAGTGATATAGTATAGCATGGCATATCATATTACTTATATCTTGACCCATAACAGGTGTTTTCACTTTTAATTTCCAATCTTGGTGTTTAGTTTTTTCGGAGACCATTAATCGACCCCCAGTGGCTATTTGCATAGCATATGAAGTTCGCTTACTCGAGACTCTTTTATTTCTTTCTTGCTTTAATTAATCCGATAGCCAGTGGTTTGGGGCAGACTGAATTGCTTTAAGCGTGGAAAAGAAGTTGTGTTGATGGCATTGGTTGTCGAACGATCATTGTGCAGTAATGGCTCCAAAGTGAAATTACACCGAGAAATCATTACTGTTTCCTTGCATAATAATCACAAATTGGAACGAGGCTTATCGTTTTCTCGCCTTAATTGAGTAGGCTTGTTATAAGAGATGGAAATTCGCACGAATTGATCAAAAAAATCTCACACGAAAACATTTGAATACGACTCGTCATTAAAGAAACCAAATTATTTTGACGCAAATCGCTTGAAAGAAATTACTCATCAAAATGTTTTATAGATTCTAAAAGCTCCATTATCAAAAAAATGTGAAAATCAAGAAAACATATCACCGTCTAGTAAACAAATAATAAAATATTTTGGACCGCTATCATGTCCTGGTGTCGAAAAACTACGCAAGGTGCCTAAAAAAGGTGTAAATTAATAACTTTAACGGGAAAAAAAAAAACAACAACACAACGGTTTTTAAGATGAAGTTTTTTTTTATGTGATCTTCAGCTCATTTCCAAGTGTAAGCTGTAAGCGTGTCATAGTTCGTTCAAGTTAACGTTACGTGACTTGAATGAGAAAACCAAGCCATAATAATGTTTTGACTAAGATAACCGCTATTGATGCACCAATAATTAAAAACGCTTGACCAATACCTTACTCCTATTCTCAGAAAGAACGTAGTTTATCAGAGCAATTTTGTGGGGAATAACCGACAGGTTAGTGTGTGTTGCAACGCTGACAGCGGTTTGGGTGAAAGATAATCAGTTATGAAAACTGCCGCACATTAAAAAAAAAAAAAGAAAATCAAAGGAAAAAAATTACTATTCAGTTTATAACTCGCCAATTGAAGAATTGAATAGGAGTACAAAGAGATGAAAAACTATCGTGTATTCACCTTTTTTCAAGACGAGCAGCTGAAATTTTGGATTTTCTCCGGCAGTTTTCCATAGATGTCTGGCTATGAAATGAATATCTTTTTTGATGAAATGGAATGCTTCGTTTACTGTGGTGATTAGACTGAGAGCTTGGTAAATCGAAACAGATGCAATCAGTTACAAAGAAGAAGGCTTTTAAAATAGGAAATGCCTTAATCCAGATTAGTTAGACTTTAAAAATAAAAGTCAAGCTTTTAAGCTTTGATATTTCTCATCTCTATTTGATGTAACAGAACCATTGATCGTTCATTCTTTAGTTGATTGAGCCAGAGGAGAATTAAGAAAGAAATATGCATGGCCGACCTCCGAAATCATTGTTGTTGGGTTGATATCGATGTTGCCTTCTTTCCAAAGACTTCGTTTGACATAAAAATGAATAGAGAAAAAGCGGAGGAAAAGTGTATTTTATTCTTTACGCAAATAAAAGCGCGCAAATTAATACTAAGCTCTAGCGGATTACGTTTTTTTTTTCTTATTAGCGAATGCAGTGATCGAAGGAGGGAAACCCTTGAAAACTCTGATACTAAAGGGACTGTATACATTTAAGCCAAGTTTAAAACTCGCATGCCTTGTTTCTTTTTAAACGAATGAAACGAATTTGAACTTTCATTCACTAAAGTAATAATGACCGTCCTATGAAACTCTTAAAGAAAACGTAGCGTTGTTTTTCGCAAAGTACCTTTAAACAATCGTCGGGTTTTGTTGTTACCTATGAATGCAGCTGGTACGATTCGGGAATTAATACGGACCACTGACTCAGGATATGAATTTTGAAGATCTTCACGAAGAGTTTCTTGAAAAATCTCGTCCATTAGAGTCATGACTTTCCTGGAACTGCGCGCTTTTAAACACTCACAAAGTTCGAAAGCTTTTAAAACATCTATTTTTCGACAGAGGATTTTCACGGTTTTTCACTTCGCTCCATCGTGGGAAAAAATTTCCGCAGCTAAATCAGGTTTCTCTGATCATATCCTCGCAAGCCAGAAACATTAGAAGTAGTGGTAAAACTAAGCCGGTTCTTCAGATAATGAGGTCAATTTAATTGAACATGGGTAAAAGGCACAAAAGTCCTAAAAACAATGTTAGGATGGGTAATGAATGGAACATGCGAATAAGGAAATAAATGATTTATGGTTCATAGCCTTTTCTTCTACTTTGTTCTGTTATCTAAGGACTTTCTCACTCATTATTTCTTTTTATGAATTACTGATCTCCAATTTTACCTATTTATCAAGTAGATTTAGCGCGATGGAAAGTCATACTATATTGCTTACAACTCTTTGGTTTTGCGTGGCTTTTCCCCATAGTATTATTTCCAAGTTATTATCTGGGAACTCGACTTTATTAAAACATTTATGCAAATGTAATATTTGTTCCGAAAACATCTGTCATTTGGGTTTAATGTGAGTTGGTATCCACTCGCAAAACAACCAAACAAGTATTTGCCGGGCGTTAAATCTATGTCAAAAGAATGCTTGAAAGAAAAAAGCCTTCGCATGGCGCCGTTAACGCTCGCTCAGAAGAAAGGAAACAAACAAAGAGGTGTGAAGAAAGTGTTCGTTAGAAAATTAAAATTTCTAAGTTTTTTCTATTCACGTGAATACGGCATTGTACGTGATCGGCAGGCAGCCTTCTTGAAGGCGTGTTTAACTCATTAATGGCTACAGCTGTCTCCGTTCTGGATAAACAGTCGTTAACTAAGATTTTCAATAATTAGAGGTTCGATAAAAGCTCTCAATAACATTTTGGTAAAATACTTATCGCAGCCATGTGCGGCGAAACATCGAATAATTGCTTTGGTGATAAACCTTTATTCTGCTAAGAAGAATGCCATTTTGAACACAATGATTTCAAAGAAAAGGATGAGTCCTAATGATTTCTTTGATGAAGAAAAAAACTGCCGTGTTAGTGACAGGTGAATGTTGTGCAAAGTTTAGTTTTGGAATGCTTAAAGACATTCATAGAGTCAGTCCTTTTCGCTTCCTATGATTCGGTCGTGTTCTGTTTTCTTAGTAGTGTTAATTTGTCCCTTGCTCCTGGGTAAAGTTGACAAATGCATGATCCTAAATAAACCAACACTGATTACATTATATATGTTTTGCTTGCTAAACAGATCGTAGCGGCAGCGAAGACGTGTAAATTTCTATTGACTTTGTCGCTTAGCAAGTCGTGATAGCTTCTGTTTTAAGCTTACAACCTCACCACTAAATGTAAATTTCTGATAATTGTTTTTATATCCAGTCCCTCTAAAAAAAATTATAGTGCGTAAGCGAAATAATCGAGGATGAGGTTCTGAACGTCGTTTAAAAACTAATTTTAACATAACAAACTACGCTCTTTTTCTACTATTCCTAAGAATTACTTTCAATTCAGTAATTATTGTTAGAATGACTTACAACGCAAGATGTATATCACGCTACGAGCCAGCTCGCCATTTGGAGATATATAGTGCTCCAAATTAGAAAACGCGGAGATAAGATATGGATACAGAACAGGTTTGCCGATCGAATTTAAGTCTAACGGGAGTTTTTTGGGCTTGGAAGTTCAACTTAAATCTTCTTAGGTTATCAAAGTGTGGACAAACGTCGTTTTTTATTCCTTCACAATTTTTCCTCCATCTAAACGCATCTGTTCTCTTTGACAAGCTGCTTTGTCGTGTTCTTAGTTAAAATCTAAGTTTCTCTCTTTCGTTCATTCTTTTCTTATTCTCCTGCCCCCTCACCCCCGGTTTACCTTGAACTTTAGAATTTTCCCTTTGACTGTAAAGCATCTAAGGTGAACATAATTCATTCATTTAGTGGATAATACTTTAAAAAACAGCTTCCATCTTTGACAGACATCAGAGTCTAAAACAAACTCCCTAGGTCCTTCCAACAATTCAACGGCCTTAAAAGGAAGCGACCTGAGTTTGAAAACTCTACGTGAGATAATTACACCTATTTAAAAAATTTCCCCTTTAGTATTTTTACGCTCGAATTTTTTATAAATCCTAAACCTGATTCACGAAGGTAAACCTCGTTCTCGTGTAGTCGCTAAGGGTATCGGGAATCGCAACAAAACCGAGCAAACTGGGGTCTAGTTAATTGGCTTGCCGCTCACTGGGATTTGGCTTCTTCCGTTTTCAGGGTTATGTGATTGGAAGCGTCATTACTCAGGTATTTTTCAAGGTAAAAAACATAAATTACACGGTGATATAAACAAGATAGATAAGAGCTGTAAACTGAAGGACATCGGCAAAGGAAAGTAAGAGGCATTGTTAGACAAGGTCTTGCCAATTTTTCAGTCGTTTTCGATATCTTACTGGCATATCAAAAATTTCACTACGAGTTCTTATAACAAGGAATTTACAGGTAGGCAAAAGGACATGGATATTGTTTCATAGAAACGACGAGGAGAGTATTGTCACTTTTTAAAGGTGTTATATGGCGCTCCTTTCTCGTAAACTCATAACATATTCACCAGTCTAATTTCTGTACGTGTATATCAAGACAATTATTTTCGATGTGTATTTTATAGAATGTTTAATTTCTTTATTGCTCGAAGAAAATATTTTAGCCAGAAAGTGAGCTGTGAGTCTCCATAAATAAGAGTGCACCCCCAAATAGATTCTTGTATACGTGTATCTTCCTCTATTGGCATATCATGTTGTCAGCCAGTAAAGACATAAAATAAGTGAAATATTATACCCTTATGTTTTTTTCCAAGAATTTAATTGTGTCTGACAAATTTGAGGAAAACATTAAGACTGGAGGGGAAAAAACTGTTCCCTCAGGACCAAAAATAACTTTTTTTTCATGTGCCTAGAGGAAGAACACGATAAACAAGCAAAAACAAGTGAGCTTTTATTACAATTCAACTTTATTTATTGTAAACACTGCAAATGTATCTTTGAAGAACCATATTTTTGGTTTCCTGTTCCACCAGTTTTTTTATTGCATAATTTCAGTAGAAAAGTAATGTTTATAGCCTCAAGCTTCTCCATTGTGTTTTCAAGAACTAGTAGAAAGCTGGCAACTGATTGCATGCAATCACAGAGAAGTTCAGAGAAGAGAGCTCAATAACATCATGCCACAGTAACTCCAGCAACTTAATGATTAAACTATTTGTTATTTAAACCAATAGATTGCCCTTTTTATCGCTGTGAGTTGCTATTTGTAATAATTAAAACAATACATCGAAAAACAAATTTTCTCCAACAGGGACACCTGAAAAGTAATTGATAGTGGGTTTATTACTTACTATATATTGATATTTTTATCATAAGATTGTAACTATAACTGTCAGGTGGGTAATTAAATTTTTCATGATTCTATTGGCTTCACCATGTCAGTAATACTAGGGCTTGACACTAACTTTTCAACTTACTAGCCAAGTGGCCCGTGTCATCTTAGATGCTACAACAATGTCAGTTTGTTTACCAGCCAAACTGACTGGTGGAAACTGAAATCCACTTGCTAAAACTGAATTTCTACTAGTCTGTGGCTAGTGTGCTACCGTTAATGTAGAGCCCTGAATACATTATTTACTAAAGAACAGCCACCCTCTATGGACCAATGATACTGTTACTAAAAACTCACTGACAGATTATTGAGAGACTACTGACTGTTGCCCGACAGGTATACTTAAAACTGTTGTCTGACTGTTAGTAGACTAACTGTTGGTTGACTGTTGGTCAACTGTTGGCCAACAGTCGGCTGTTTGTCCCGACAGGTTTATTCAGCAAGTCATTGGTCACAATTACTCTGGGTGATCGTTGGAAAAAATTGTATACAAACTCACTTAAGTGATTGATGTCAATAACTTACCTGGCTAAGTATTCAAAAGCTCATACTGGTACGAAGAAGTAGTTGTTAGTCTCTGTTCACATTTATCCCTTTGGTATATTAGATATAATGACTTAGTTTTAACCTCATTAGATTAACTTATGAATTATTATTTTTTCTCTGTTGACGCATGGATTTCAAACAACTCATGAACTTGGCCTCTCGAAATAAGAGTCGGGCAGAAAAGCAGGTGAATAAGTGTACATGTAAATATATTTTATGAGTAATAAATACCTTTGGTACATCGGTGACCCCACTCAAAGAGAGAGTTGGTCTTTCATAGAGTACAGTGTGAGAGAAAAGGTTACATGAGCTCAGTAGCCTCACTCTTCACTTGAATGCTTGATATTGTATTCAAATTGTGAGGAGAAATCCTGTCTTGGTCACTTATTGATGTTAGTAATTAAGAATCTACAGTAAAGGTAGGGAAAAGTTCCTTGTGGCTGTCCTTGTCTGAAAACATGTTTTTTTGGTTGGTCATCCAGGCTAGAGATGACCTCTAAAACATGTCTATGGTTAATTACCCAGATCAGAAATGACCTCTAGACAGGAGCTTGCCATCATTCTTAACTCTTAGCCATCATTTTTGTTTTAATATAATTTTATATATTGATTTGTGATATTTATACTGGCTGGCCAGGTCAGCTTAAAACTGGTTTAGATAGGGACCTGTTTAAACAATCTAAAGGCTAGACCACCATGCACATAAGCTAAATTCTCTTCTGTTTTGAGGGAAGTGGGTGGGTTCCTTAATATCCCCTATTAACCAGTACAGAGAAGATGCAGGAGACAGGGCCTTTGCTTTATCATCCAACAATAAGAAGACTAAAATGCCTAGGTAACCATTTGCAGATGTCATAGCAAAGGCAGCTCATTCTCCTCAGTTATTTTTAAGACCCTGAGTGTCTGGTGTGAGGCTTGAACCCTCAACTTCCTTCATGGCAATCTGATACTCTACAACCTAAGCTAACCAGGTGGCAGCTAACCATTTCTGCCACTTCCTAAGACATCTATGCATTGAAAATTTATTCTTTAAAATTGTATTGAATGAACAGAAAGATGCAAAAGAAGTGATGCCCAAGCACTCTAGTGGTGGATCAAAAGAAGGTGTGTCACAAGCTGCAGTTCAAGCTTTTCTTGCAAAGAGAGAGATGGAGAAAAAAAAGAAAGCAGGTAGGAATGTAGGGTTGAGGGTGAACTGAGAACTATTAAGAAATCTTGTTTCATCTAAGGAGAGCAGGGCTCACTGAAAGGTGCTTTTTGTGACATAGTCTGGAATAAGCAGTCACAGTGGTCATCTCAGGAAGGGGATTTAATCCAGATTAAAGGTTTTAAACTTTGTGATTGAATCAGAGTTTACTGAAGAAAGCATTTGTGGTAGATATTAAATTGTATGGTTTGTTGGTTGGTTAAGGAAGTGACTTAAACTTGGAGAGCAGAAGCAAGAATTGGAACGGAAGTGTTTTTTACAGCAAAAAGTGCTGTAGACTCAGCATGTCCAAGTTTGCTCTCTGATATTTTTTATCGAAACATTCAATTGACTTTGTAGGGTTTTAATCTGTTCTTTTAGATATGAACTAGACATAATTTACTTCCCCACGACATTGTTTTGTTTCATGTAGAGGATAACTTGGTTTCACTGAAGGAGTTGATAAAATAAATACTTATTGGCAACCATAGTGAGTTTCTAATTAAAAGTTGATGTTTTGAGTATTAGTCCTTACTTCATCAGAGCCCTTTTCATTCTCTCTGACAATGCTTGAAACATCAGCTTTAGTAATTCACTAAGATAGCCAAACTACATTCAGCTGATAAAACCAAATTGTCTTGTAATATCCCCACTGCTGTAGCACCGCAGTTTCTTTAGAAACCTACGACTATATAACTTATTGCTTTTCTTTATGTAGCTGAGGAGGAGGCAGCAAGACGAGCAAGGATTGAGGAACGTTTGGCCCAATCCCTTGGTGGTAAAAAAAAAGAATCTACTAAAGTTACTAAGAGTGAAATGTCATGGCAAGAAGGACGAAACAAACCATCAAAGACAGATGTGATAAATGGAAAACAATCCAGTAGAATATTAAATGAACAACAAAAAACCTCTGAGCAAAGAGCATCTAAAATGGTCCAGCCTTCATCTTCAAAGAACACTGATCACGATAGAACTAGACCATGTAGGAAAGCAGATGGAAAAAACAGCATCACAAAGTCAAAATCATCTTCTACAAAAAAAGGTGCACCTCTCAGTTTTAAAGATTTATTGGCTGCTGCTGAGCACAACAAGAATGGGGGTGGGGGGGGTGCCCAATTGAAATCTGCATTACAAAATATGAGCTGTGCAAAGAGAAAAGAAAGTGACAGGGAAAGCAGTCATATCGAAAAGGCAAGTTGTGAAGGAAAATCTACCAATGCAGGACAAGATAAGAGAACAAAGCATCAAAACAAAGTTTTAAACAGTAATTCTAAGAGACCATCAAAACTGGCTGCAAATGATAGCAGGGTGAAAACAAAACCGTCATCTTCAACAGCGAGTTTGAGAATGAAACAAAAGCAGGACTTGAAGCAGGCATCAGGGTTACTTAGTGGAAGTAAAGAGCATCCAGGGCGTAAAAAAATTTCTGCACTTGCACCGATAGCAAGCAACTCAAAACATATTAGTCCAAGTGTGGAAAGACAATTAGTGAAAGAAAGACAACTTCACCGTCAAAGGGAAAGAATGCTGCTAAAAAGGAAAAGGAACCCTTACATGGATGAGATGGATGATTTCATTGATGACGAAGATGTTGAGGATTCTGCTGATGTCTCCAAGTATATCAAGGAAATTTTTGGCTATGATCGGTCAAGGTTTGTGTCTCTTTTACAGACTGATTTATACCTTAACCATTTCATTCCCAAGGTCTCATTGACAATTCTCTTTACTGTCTGTCCTACAATTATTCTCATTATGTTAATTTTGAGAATTTGGTAATGTTTATATAAACTAATACCAGTAATCCTTGATATATATTTTTCTTTATTCTCCTCACTTGTTTGCTTGATATCGTATTGAAACTGTGAGGAGAAATTCTGTCTTAGTCACTCGTGGGAGTTAAAGGGTAACTCTAAGGTATACTTTTATTTCCTTTGGTGCTAACCAGGAGAATGTGTTTAAAAATCAGGAGTTACTTTGGTTGATGATGATTTTCTTTATTCTTTTTACTTAATGACGATAGATTATGGAGAAATTAGGTGCTAACCACTCTTTGAGGGCAAAGAGTTTAAGGTATTTTGATGTTTCTCCAATTGAGGAAAACATAGGCCAACAGTCAAAATAACAATGAGAGGGTTTCCTACTACAATTAAAGCCACAGGTCAAATATCACTATATTCCTAACTCTGATGGAAACTAACAAACTACCCTCATCCTGACATTTTTTTTTTAACCCTTTCGCTGGCAGGTCCCTGGGGACTCAATAGTTTTCTATGATGTATGCGGACAAATCAGGCCACAGCTCATCACATTTTAAGTTCAACCCCAACAAACTATATATCATTTTAATCAGCAGAAAAGTTACCATCATTTTAAGACTATTTTGTTACATATGGTTCCTTGTGCACATAGTTTGGGGCAAGAAAAGTCAAGCATAACAAAATGTTTGAAGAGTATTTTGTTTTTCCTGCTCTACTAAGACAAGACATCAACATACTTGTGAGCATAACTTTTGTATTATGCAAAAGTGTATTATTTCAGGAACCAAACACTTTTTATTCCATCCAATTGTCTTCATTGCAACCAAAGTTATGCCTTTTACTGTTCATCAAGGTGCAGATTAGCAATTTTCAAAAATTAGAGGATATGTGATATTGCAGAACTATACTTGAGTAACAACTAGCTAGCTTCACTTGAACTCACCAAAAAAGTAACCACAAAGAACCATAAATGGACAATAAGGTAAAAATGGTTCTGTTCTTATAAAAAAATTACAATCCATAGCAACCTTCAGGAGTGTAGGCACAGGAAAAAAGCAGTATGAAATACTTGATGTACATTCAAAGATACAGTTCACAAGTCTAAATTGTGTCCTTTTCCCTCTAAAGAAAACTTCATTAGGATCGTCCCCTAACACAATTCGCCATGCCTCCTCGACTGAAATCCATGCAGACGCCATTTTAAAAAGGATAGTACTGTGTGAGCAAATTTTTTTCTCGAAAAACCTGTCAAATTTAGCTATAAACAGCGAGAAATATGGTTGCGAATGAAGGAACGTGACCTCACATACCATAATAATCTTTACAAACTCAAAGCAATACTATATGGAGGTCCCCAGAGGTTTTTAGTATGGATAAGGTCAGAGCGAACGAATTCGTACGTTTGCCAGCGAAAGGGTTAAGAAGCCTTTCAGTGAATGATTGTAAATTATTATACCAGTGCTCAGAGACTAGTCAAAGCCCTGCTATCCAAATGTCCAGATCTACTCACTGTAACTTCCTTGAATGTAATCTTTCTAACAGATTCAATGATGAAGATGATGACTTGTCCTATATGGAGAGCAGTTATTCGCAAATAGAAAAGGAGGAACATAAGAGGTAAACATATTATGCAATCGGGAACTGTCCTTGTGAAAGTTTTTGTTAACGTGATAGTCACCGATAACAGAAGTTTAATTCTGATTATTGTTTAGGGGAGGATAGGATGGGAAAGAGTTGTATCAGGGGGACAAGGGAACGGAGGGTGTGCTGCTTCCACTGCACATAGTTTTTTCTTTTAGCTACTGGTCTGTTTTGGGTTTAACCATCTAGTTACACTGCCAGTTATATTAGGGACCATGAACTAACCATGATGGTAGCAAGGATATGGTCTAACAAAAAAAAAAAACAAAAGATCTCATGTGCTCAACAATAGTTCAGCACTTTGTACATTTCATAGGGGTCCTCTGCAAAACAACAATATGAAATCACCAAAATTTGTGTGCTCTGAGAACAGAAACCCCTGCAGCAATAAGCTTCCAATAGGAACTCAATGCTGCTGGCATTTGTTATGCTCCAGTAAAGGTTTTAGCACAGTAAGAGCTGGTAAACATGTCAGCCATTTGCAAAATTCTAACTAATAGTTTATTTATTTTATCAATGTCTTCCTCTGTGTCGCTGTCCTGACTGCTTAAGGCCCCTATTAACTGACTGCTTAAGGCCTCCTAGCACCTTCAAATTACATTTCTTTTTTTGCATCGTCCTTTTATTTTTCTCTGTAGATCATTAGACCATTTTCATGTTTGATTGAAGGATGAATCTTTCTTGGGCTGTGAAAAATCTAATGTAAAACTTTCTGTTTCTTGTTTCACCAGTGCTAAGATAGCTCGCTTGGAAGATGAAATTGAGCAATTGAAGGAATTGACAGAACTAAAGAAGATGAGAGATAAGCTCAAGAAGAAACCAATGAAATAGAATTAGACAGTGTGCAACAACTTCGGTTCTTCTGTTTCTCAAAACTTATACCCCATTCACACCAGCAAGACATGTTTGCCATAAACTGGGTTTCACCAAATGAAAATCAGAAACAAAAAACTAAATTTCCAGGACTCCAGTTATTACTAACTTGTTTTTATGTGATGAATATGAAATTAACAAACATCACTTTAAGCAACCTCTTTATGAAAACAATTCCAAGCCATGTTTATCATGATTATAGCTTTTAAAAACACATGTTTCAGCTTTGGTGTGAATAGGGTATCACTGGCATAGCCGGCTTTTCAACTGGTTGTAGGCCTGTGCCCTAAGAAAATTAAATTTTGGTTTCAAAATTTGAAAGAGTTATGGGGAAGTGAGATTGTATGTAAATGCAGTCTATTTTTGACCCCAGTCAGGCAGGTTACTTTACTTACTGGGGGGTCATCCACCTCCATGTAAACAGGCCCTTCAGGAGAGATACAGAATTAGTTATTTTTGTGTTCCCTTCATGTGTGGCAACCTGTTAACTGCTAGGTGACTTCCATCTTGTATGTTGTTTACATCAAGATATCAATGGTAAGAACAAAAATGATGTCTCAAAGACATTTTTCTGAAAAAGTTAACTTTAACATTATGGCAGACTTTGCTTAATTTGGAGAAATCAAGAAGATAACAAGTCAGCAAGAGATTTGATGCTCTCTTCAGAAGTGGAGGATAAAGCTCCAAATTAAGTGACAAGAAGATATTTTATTTAATAGACTTAAAATAATTTTACTAACCTATACTTAGGGTTACTTGAAATCTAGGAGTTTTTAGATCTGTTACAAATATTGTAGTTTAGACAACCTAAAATATTGTCCATAGTTATCAAAATGTGTAAGCAACCTACAAATGCTTTATTGAGGAGGCCACAAATTGTCAAATTTCAAACAGTCAGGGTTAAATTAAACTTTGACTTTGGTATTGATAATTATCACTATGGTGTTGTGTTGGTTGAGAAAGCATGCTAAGGTTTTGTGGTGCCTTTGCTAAAGGGAGAAAAAAAAGTATACTTAATTGTTTTCAGCTTCTTGGGTCTTCACATTGGAGGTTCAAAGAAGACCTTCACTTCCTTTTCCAAGAAACTTGTTTGAGCCTTCACAAGGGAATGAGGTATGCACCAGTTGGGGGTAATTGGTCAAGGTGCTCTAAAGGCAACCACCACACAACAATCCCTTAAAGAGAAATTTTGCTCTGTCAAAGAATTAGTTGATAAAGTAAATTGACCTCTGTAACTCATTTTTAACTCTGACATTCTAAGCATTAACCATTTGTCAGGGTGCACACAGCTATTCTTCAAGTCCCTAAGGGAGCTTGTGGGCCTACTCAATTTTGTTTTTGGAGTCACTACTAATGTTCCCTTCCTGTGCATGCTTTGGCCGTAAATGTACCACTTTTAACCAGTCATATTGTAGATAAGGGTCAAGAGTTCCTATAATACCTTAAAACTTAGTGACAGTTAAAGAAGAAAAACATGTGACCCTTAAAAAGTTTCCTTCCATCATTTACTGGAGGTTGATTATTCTGCTTGAAAAAGACTATGGCAGTACCCTGTTAATATGGTCACCAATAGACCCAAAAAAATTGGCTGTGGGTAGGTGGTATTCCTGGGGCAGGGTTGAACTTTATGAACTTATGGCCCTGATGAAAAATTTATTGTATTCACACTTCCTAAACAATCATTCTCTTTGATAAACAAAAAGAATGTTGATATACATACAGTTATTGTAGAAAGACTTGAAACTCCACTGAATATATATGAAAAACTTTTGAAAATGGGTCATTAGCTGCCACACATGTATTTGAAATGTACTGCAGCCTTCTGGACATTTTTTGTATGAGACATACAAGCTTCTTGCTCTTCTAAATTTAGTGCTAATGGCTGCATTAACAGGGTGAAATCACAAAGGATTCTACTGTTTGGGATATTAAAATGTGGCTATTGGCTAAATTAACAGGTAACTGCACTGACTAGGGATTCGCATACGAAAAACTTTTGTTGTTTTGCCAGGCTGAAAAAAAGTGGCCATAATAATGAGGTGACCGTAATTGTACTGATTAAGTAGCCATCGGGTAGGGTTCCACTGTAGTCTGGTTATGAAAATGTTGATTTGAAAAAACCCATAAGCTCCTTGATAAAGTTAATCCACCATCCCAATATAACTTAGATTCATAAAGGAAACAGAGAAGAAGACATGAACTACAAAAATTGACTACAAGTTTACTTGTTTTGGATTACAAAGTTAGCAGTGTCCACTGTCAAAAATGCCTTCAAAGTTGTTGATTATTGTATCATTCAAGCAAAAGCCAACACTAGATTAGCAAAATTTCTGAAACATCCTATTTTGAAGTACAAGTAATTCCACTTAAAATACTGAGAGAATAAAAAGAAATAAAACTGAGGAGTAAACCATATCTTGACCATGGCAAAAATGCTTTGTATATGAAAACGTTGTTTATAGTATCGCAGTTTATGGCTATCATGTAAAATGCTTTCTGTTCCTCAAGTTAGTCAGAATGATTCTTGTTTCAAGGAATTTCAAAATATCCACCCTCACAAATCTGAAACAGAAAATGACAAAGAATTAAAAAGAGAGACACCAGTGTTTTGACTTCATCTCAAGGGGTTAATTTGTAAGAAAAATTATAAAAAAAAAACTGTAAAATGTAAAACACTCAAGTGTAGGTGATTGCAAATTCCATTATGGTGACTTTGGTGAAAAATCTACCACCGAGAATTTAAAACAATGCCAAATGCATGCAACCTCCACTTGATAAAAGTTTACTTTACTTTTGAAAGTTAAGGGTTATAAGAATTAGTGTTCATGAATCCAGTGTTATAAACTTTAAGGTTGCTTATAGACAAAACTCAGCTCAATGTGGCACACAAGCCTGACAAGAACATAGCATTGATAGACCTTTTGTCTTTTTAAAAAAATAAGGAAAAAAATTTTTAAATTAGGTGCGTCCTCTAACTTGATTACTAACCAGCGCCTGCGAGACCCACGCTGTCTATCAAATTTGGCTTCCATTTCCTCCAGCACTGAAAATACAAATGGGTCACAAGATTTTAACTTGAATGCACTATTCAGTGGCTTCAAAGATAAATAAATTACAATATACATGTACTTGTACTACAGACTTTATCAGTCGTACACATTTCCAAGGGGGAAATTTCAACATGCTTAACAAGTTACAACTGGGCTACTTGTAATTATAGGCTTGGAATCAATTTAAAATAGTTGACCAATTGAATTAGTTTAATTCTTCCCTTGATCGTTGTCTTTGAAACCATTTCTTTTTCATAGTAGCTATATGCACAACTGAAGCAAAGATACTAAAAAATATCTTTCAAAGCAAACTGAGAACTCTGACAAAATACTTACGTTTTGGTGTATACTTCACAACTAGACGGACACTTCCTACAGAACAATGAAAAAATAATTTTTGTTTATAGAGTGTTTTCATTTGCTTTAATTCTTCAAGCTTAATGTGCCAGAGCTACATTTATTTGCTATATTCAACCCACCTTCAGCAGCTTTCAGCAGGTCAACAGCTTTCTCGTGATTTTCTCCCTCTACACTCTGAAAAATAACAAAATTAAGTCGAGCTTATGAATCCAGTTCCAATAAATAAATTCCACGACAACTTCGACTTGGAACGCGACTGTGAATTCTGATTCAAGAATCATCTCGCACACAAATGTTTCAGAGTAAGGAATCACACAATATATCACAGAGAATGGAATAACAAACCCAGTTAAATTGTGCGGGGAACGAGCAAGGTTTCACACAATAACAATGGTAAAGGAAAGAATGGCAAGGACAGCAATTATAATTATTTATTTAGTGAAAGAGTGCTACTTAATTCAACCCTATAACTCTCATAAGAAATCTCCCCCTCCCTCCAGTCTGTAATACAATTCTTATAATGTTTGTTCAGAGAATTTGGTATTAAATCAAGTTATAATCCCCTAATTGATAGTTTTCTTTATCCTCCTCACTTGTCTGCCTTTTAGGGAGCCTTCATTATTTATGGCGGGGGGAGGGCATGCTAAATTCAGGAACTAAAATGGAGGGATAATTAGAAAAATTTGGGAATAATGTAGGGGGGTCAAAAGCTTTTTGTTGCCACATATCATCTACAAATGTGGGCTTAAGTTTGTAGAACATTTCTACTACCCGCCATACAATATACTTTTCACTTCTTTTAACCTAGCTGCTTTGATAGTCCTAGGGGGGAGGGGGCAAGCTATTTTTACAATTACAACTGGAGGGGTCATGACATTTTTAATTATTGTAGAGCAGGGTCAGGATAATTTGTTTAGTCTCACTGAAAATCTTGCCAGCCCACCCTCTCCCATAAATAATGAATGCCCCCTTTTTGTATAAGTATTGTACTTGGAGAACTTCTGTCTTGATCCCCTATAGGAGTTACAGGGTTAAATATCAATACATGTATCTTGTTAACCAAGCGCGAGGGCTGTGCTGGGAGAATATTACCCCGAGGTCTTCACAGTACAGACCAAGTGCAGCAAGGTTCGTACAAAAAAGACCAAGGGCCGATATTCTTCCAGTACAGTCCCAAGCAAGCTTGGTTAATAAGAGATTTATTATACGACTGAAGTTCAAAGGGACACGAGTGCGGTATCATTTGGGACCATTTGGGACAGTGCCCAGTCCAATACGGAGAGAATATTGACCAGCAATAGAGCATTTTGATTGGTTGTATAGTTGTTGTCAGTAGAATGTTCTTATTTCAGTTTGTGTAAAATGATTGGTCAGTTTTGCCATGATGTTATTGGCTGTAAGACTCAAGTGGCATAAGTCAGTCGTGATTGGTCTGTTTCGATCCGTCAGGAAAGTTAGGTCATTCTTTACCTTGGCCAATTCACACTAACTCAGTTAGTAAAGTCAAATTATCTTGTACAAATAATACCTACCCCTGCCTCCCAATGACCTGGCACCATGACTTGATGAGTTGCACACTTCATGATTAAAAGGGTTGACAAAAATTATCAACATACCTGTCAGCCACACCACCAGGTATAATGCGAGAGATATAAATAGGAGAATTCTGTTCTCTCCCACCCATCACATTAAAGCCCAGCCCTTCTTCATTCTGAGAGAAAACACACCATATCATTAGACCATTACTATAAAACATCAGAACACAAATCAAAATCAAACTTGCTATTGTATTTATTGTCTTGCATCTGCTTACCTTGGGAAGTTCAACCACACGGGGATGTGCATGACCTTCACTTGCAGCAAAAGCAGCAATTGTGGCCTGCAAATAAGCAACACTACTGCATCCAAAATTTGCCTAGTAATAGTTTGATAAAGTTGACCACAGACAAAATGATGACAAAATGTTGAAGTGAAGGATCTTATCACATGGTTATATGAAACAAGACTAATATATACTTCACAATAATTCTTAGTTTATTTGTCATGTGAGTCACCCTGCTGATGTGAACATAAAAAGCCAAAAAAGATGTTTAGAACAGTTAACATCCTGATGGCATTTTCAAATTTTTACTAAAATTGACCCCAATAGCATCATCTCTCTTGGAGAATTTGAGAAGAGTTTAGCCCTTTAACTCCCAGATGTGATGAACTTGTAACCTCTCCTTGCAATTCCACAATGGAGTCTTGCAAACTGGTAAGGAGAGTAGACAAGCTCATCAGTAAGAGGATATTATGTTGCTATAACATCTAATTCTCCTTTTTAACACACAACGAATTGTTTGTCAGTAAGTAAGGAGAAACACTAATTGGATCATGAGATTTGAAGGGTTGATTAGCTAAGCTTGTGAAGAGAACTCAATTGAATTAAAAAATAGATGTTGGGTGTTTAATCACCTTGGCCGTGGCTTGAGCTCTCACTTCAGGATTGCCTTGGATGTCAACAGTCTCATAAACATGTTCATAAACCTAAAAACGTGGCAAAGGGAGGTAAATGGCATTGCCATAGTATACGTCTATACATGCATAGTGCAAACTGCCTTTTTAGGAGTTGAATGCTGCTTAAACCTGCTGAACACTTGAGAGTATATGATGGTTTACCTCACGGATGGCATTACAAAATTCACTCTGAAGAACTTTTTGCAGAGCTTCAAGTTTCTTAGGGGGAATTTCGCCACCTGGAAAACAATTATTTCAAAAACAAAGTTAACAGTGTTCCAAATCATGACAAATGCTACACTAGCGTTAACAAAGCTCGTATTTACAAATAAAAATGTCACTTACTAGAGCGTAGCTTTTCAATCAGTTCAATAGCACGGTTCACATCTACAATTAGAAAATAAGGCCCATTTTTCTTAGTTTCCTTGAAATCATGCAAGAACAAGAGAGAATATGCCTTGTCCTGTAAAAATTTTACACCTGAAACAATCAGGCAGTGGTACTTGCGAATTGCTTCGCTAACTTATCGATTCAGAAGGACTTTTCTGTCGCGGAAAATACGCGTCACTTCCATTTTTATTAATAATAGGCCAGTATTGGCACAAGCTATCAAAACATTTCAAATAAACAAGCAAGACAATGACATAACGGCAGATATGGACGACAATCCAGGGATGTTTTTAACAATAACAACACAATTCAACTCTAGAATTTTCGAATTCTAAAGCGTTTTTCTCTCCCCTAAAGATTAAGGTGAGCCACAGTGGGATACAACATGGAAAAATGTATATCTTACACTTATTCCAGTAAGTCTAATCGCTTCAAATATCGTTATAACACAAATCCCACAACTGAATTAATACTGAAGTATTGAGATATAGCTGGTTATAATGAGGTGGGGAATATAAATTATTCGAATGTGTGTCACGATGGCATTCGATCTTAGTGTATAAACTACAGTTCCTCAAGCAGGACTCTGTTCACTTCAGTCATTCGTCCAAAATTTAGAACATTTTTCAATAATGAAATGTGCAAGGAATATTTACCTCGAGCTAGTGTTAGTGGTTCATGAGCAGCCATCTTGAACGCGTCCCTTACCTCGTAATCACGTGACATCTAATAAAAACTGAGTTTTAGGCTTCCTCGACCGATGTTCCGCCCTAACAAAACTGAGTCGTAAATAGATATTTTCTTTAATAATAATAAATAAATAAAGACTGTTTATCAAGACTCATTGCAGCAATATACAAAATTGCTGAATTACATTCAGCTATTTACAATGAGCTATTTACAAAACATGTAATACTAAAATATAATAAAATAAATCCAATAATACTCAAAAGCATAATTATACAAGCCACTAGGTGTACTTATGCGTGACAAACTCTTGCGTGACAAACTCTTGCGCGCACTTGGTCCTACAAGTAGGACGCGTGGAGCGGCTAATGCCAGATCTAAGATTATAATTATGCACAACTTCTTCCTGTTTAGGGAGCATAAAATGCAAGGGGTGAGTCTCACTCCGGAGTCTATCAATATAAACCTGAGATGGGCGCGTCTGTCATTTAGAGTAGTTAAATTAAGGACATTTAATGCCTCGGTGTAATTCATCAAGGGAAAAATGATGCGCATAGCCCTTTTCTGAATGTTCTCAATCTTATAAGATAGAAAATCTGTTATATTCTGCTATACAGGGGGAGCATTTTCTAAAACAGGACGAACAATGGTTGTATAAACCTTAGCCAGTGAAGTTCGAGATGCACCACATTGCTAAAGGACCCTTAAACTGTAAAGCCTTCTGTTTCCCTTTTGCAGTATAACTTCTACAAGATAGTTCAATTTCAGGTCCTTGCTTACATAAACGCCCAGTAACTTATATGTCGTGACTCTCTCAACCGTGTTATTACCAATTACAATAGGATTCACAATAAAACTATGATTACTCATAAAATTAATTAGCATTTCCTTGCATTTAGTAGGGTTCAATTTCATTCTGTGATCTTCAGAAAAGGTATAGATATCGTTTGTAACAAAACTGAGTAGCCTGGCACTGTTCCTGGGGATTATTTCAAGGGCTGTGGTAACATGAACAAAACTTTGTTCTAAGGTTCCATGAGCGCAATAAATTATTTGTCATGATTGTAAACAAAATGACTCCTAACCTAGTGCCCTGTGGTATACCGCCCTTGGGAGTTTTCCACTCAGATATAATGTTCTCAATCCTCACAGCCTGAGTCGTGTTACACAGAAAGGCAATTATCCAGTTAACTCGAACAGGGTGCACATGCATGTTCCTTAGCTCCACAATCAGCACATTGTGATCAATCATATCAAAACCTTTAGAGCGGTCAGCAAAGAAAAGCCTAGCACCACAACTCCATGCAACCACTACCTCATATACAGCCTGTAGCAAATAGACTAACGCGTCAGGGGTGGAATGTCCTGCACGAGCAAACTGACGAGGGTCGATCTGATGAGACACTTGTTTAAAATCAAGCGGTCCCATGTGAATCCCTCAAGCACCTTAGTAAGAGTCCATGTCAGAGCGATGGGCCGCAAATCGCTCTCTATCCGCTGCGGGGGTGAGATTTTAGGGATTGGGTTCGGCAATGATGCCTTCAAGGCATCAGGAAAATAACCCTCAATCAGGGATGCGTGATAAATATCCTTGACAACTGGTGCTAGTACTTGAGCGAACTCCTTCAGTACCCAGTTTGGTATACAATCAGGGCCAATAGCTTTGCCAATCTTCACAGATGAGACCGCCTGTAAGGCTTCCTTCTCAGATACCAAGAATTCAGGGGGAACTTCCTCAGGGGCCAAGACTGGAGATTCCAAGGGTGTAAAATGATCTGTCAAACWGGTAAAAAAATTATAAAGGCTGATAGTTTCTAAAGAAACTGTTTGGGGCTGCGTCGGTGGGGGTAACGAAATAATTTGGATATATCAACAAAGTTGAAATGGTAAATTGGCCACCGTAACGATTACAAAAGCTGACGTTTCGAGCGTTAGCCCTTCGTCGGAGCGAATAGAGGAATTGTGGGTTGTGTGTGCTTTTAAAGGCAGAAAATGGAGCTACGTTATTGGTGGGAACATGGCAACGAGAAAAACANATTCTTTTTAGAGGGTGCGTGTGGTAGGTTTGTTAGTAATTCATTATAATTGTAATTGTTGTCACTTGCCTGTCACGTGTTACTCTCCTTACTTCTTACTAACCTGGGAACCATAACAAGCTTTTGCGCGTTGATCAAAGAAAATTTGTGCATTTTTTTCTTCTTCTAGTTTGCCGGAAAACGTTCTTTAGTTAAAGATTTAATTATCTTGCGTTAGAAAGTCTAGAGCCTTGACAAAAAGCTGAAAACCGAAAGCTTGCAAGCCTTTGAGACATTTTTAGCCAGAGAATGCCTATCAATATGCAATGATGAATTTTAACCTTGGTTGCTCAACTTTTGTTTGAAACAAAACCACTTTCTTAGTTCAACCAGTCATGACCATTAAAATATTTTCAGTCCAACCCATTCCGGAGCGAGTGTTAGATCTAAACCTATAAAAGTAGACTGTGGTTTGTTCACGGCAGCGAGTGGACGGATAGAAAAGTTCAGAGAAGGTAGTTGCTGTCGATAATGGTAATGGCTGTGCCTCCCCGAAGTGTTGGCCTTCTTTTGGTCGAATCATTGACTTCCATACTTATAATCGTGTCCGCTTTTTTCGGCAATCTGCTCCTTCTAGTTTCCTTGTTCAGAAAAGCACGGCTGAAGAGTTTCACCAACCTGCTGATCGGCTCTTTAGCTGTAACAGATCTGATTAATGCTTCCTTCCCTAGTGTCATGTTCTGTTCTTCACTTGTATCTGGTAGGATGTTACTCGATGTAATTTGGACGTATCAACAAAGTTGAAATGGTAAATTGGCCACCGTAACGATTACAAAAGCTGACGTTTCGAGCGTTAGCCCTTCGTCGGTACTATACTTGACGAAGAAAACCGCACATATCGTTTCATTTCTGACACATTTATTTAAGTTAGTAGAATAGCCTACGCATGAATTAAATGACAACAAACTTTTGGATTCGAACTATTGAAACTCATAGCAAATCCTTTCTTATTCTGATGCGAAGCAATATTATTACGATAGTATTTGGCCGCAATACAATCCGGAAGAACAAGAATGAA